ACCTTTTAGTACATACGTTGTTAAAATAAAATGAACAGTCCAATGATCATTTTAGTGATATGTATAAAGACTGCAAAGCCTGAAAAATCTTGGTCTGTATGAAATTGGAGGTAGTTTGAGGATTAATTTTTTTGTGCTTTTTAAGATCAAAAGGGGGGTCGTATTATACATGAGATCATATTATACATGAATAAATACGGTAATCTCCTTAGTGGAGATAACAATCCACGCAAAGTCCAGTACAGTTACATGCAGTTTTTACACAAAGTTCTAAAGCCGGGTTCACACCGGACACGTTTTGAGCAGCAGGAGCAGCCATTTCACATGCAAAGTCTATGGTGGAAGTGCGTCTAGGGGTAGCGCGGCACGGTGTGAAGCGGTAGGTATGGTTTTAGCATTTTCCTTGCATGCGGCTCGTCCAAAGCAGCCGACGCTCGAGTTGAAAACATTGACCTTTAGCTGCTCAACAAGCATCARCCAGTCAGAGAATAATTTTTCCACTTGACGGTTTCCTAAACGTTGCCCACTAACCTGAAATGGACAAACAGGAGCTCTTTAACTGAAAYCGACTGTCTGGAGTTGTTCTGGTTGGAGATATCAGCACCAATGTGGGTCAGCGTTCATTAAACTGGGCTCGGGACAAAAAAAGTTTGTCACCTCGCAGCCCCTGGAGTGGTGAAACTCAACAAACAGACCGCCTCTAAATTATCTGGTGAATTAATAATCTGGTGAACGCAACGTTCACTTGCTCTCAGTAAATAAAGCAAAGCCGTCCGTCCGTTTTCTGATGCTTTTCAGGGGATCGGGTCTCAGGGGCTGCAGCCTAAGCAGAGAGACCCAGACTTCCCTCTCTCCAGCCACTTTGACCAGMTCCTCTGGGGGGAATCCCAAGGYGTCTCCAGGCCGGCWGAGAAACATAGTCCCTCCAGCGTGTCCTGGGTCTTCCTCTGGGTCTCCTCCCAGTGGGACGTGCCCAGAACACCTAACCAGGGAGGCATCCAGGATGCATCCTAATCAGATGAAACACCTCAACTGGCTACTCTGGATGTGGAGGAGCAGCGGCTCTACTCTGAGTCCCTCCTTGGATGACTGAGCTTTTCACCCTATCTCTAAGGGAGAGCCCAGACACCCTGCAGAGGAAACTTATTTCAGCTGCTTGTATCTGTGATCTCGTTCTTTCGGTCACTACCTCGTGACCATAGATGAGAGTAGSAATGTAGACCGACAGGTAAATCAAGAGCTTCGTCTTTTGGCTCAGCTCTCACCTCACCACTATAGACCGGTACAACACCTGCATCACTGCAGACGCAGCACCAATCCACCTATTGATCTCCTGCTCCATTCTTGGCTGACAACTGCTCCAGTGAGAGCTGGAGATCAGGATCTGATGAAGCCAATAGGACCACATCAGTTGCAAAAAAGCAGAGATGTGATCCTAAGGTCACCAAAACAGATCCCCTCAACACATTAGCTGTRCCTAGAAATTCTGTCCATAAAAAGTTATGAACATAATCTGTGACAAAGGGCAACCTTGGCCAAGTCCAACTCTCACCGGAAACAAGTCCGACTTATTACCGGCAATGTGGACCAAGCTCTGTTACCGGTCATACAGGGATCTAACAGCCCGTATCAATGGGCCTGGTATCCTATACTCCCAGAGTACCCCCCACAGGAATCCCCGAGGGGCACGGTTGAACGCCTTCTCCAAGTCCACAAAACACATGTAGACTGGTTGAATGACATCTTATAAACCCTCCAGGACCCTGCTGAGGGTATAAAGCTGGTGCAGTGTTCCACGACCAGGATGAAAACCACACTGCTCTTCCTGAATCCAAGATTCAACTATCCGATGGACCTTCCTCTCCAGGACCGCTGAATAGACTTTACCAGGGAGGCTTAGAAGTGTGATCCCCAATAGCTGGAACACACTCTGCTGTCCTCCTTTTTAAATAGGGGGACCATCACCCCGGTCTGCCAACCCAGGGGAACTGCTCTCAATGTCCACATGATATTGTAGAGTTGCGTCAACCAATGCATCCCCACAACATCCAGAGCCTTAAGGAACTCAGGGTGAATCTCATCCACCCCCGGCGCCCTGCCACCGAGGAGCTTTTTAACCACCTCSGTGACCTCAGCACCAGAGATTGGAGAGTCCAACCCAGGGTCCAAGTTTTTGCCTCAGCAACCACCYGACCCACAATCCGCTTAGACTCCTGATACCAATCAGCTGCTCCTGGACTCCCACAGGCCAAAAAGACCCAATAGAACTCCTTCTTCAGGCTAATGACAGCATCCCTCACCGMCAGTGTCTAGCAATGGTTGACTGTCATTTGTAAAAATGAAAGGAGAAAAAAACTTCTTGGAGCCATCCAGATTTTAAACTGACTGTTCTTTTGACCAATAGAAATAACTACAGTAAAAGTTCTACCCAATCAGATCAGATCAAAATGGGTCGTGCTGTCTGACTGACAGCGGATGTATGAAGCCTCGAGTCACTCCGCCAAGGCTGCACGCACCGCACACCATTYGAAGTTTGTTTGTCAAGCTTTTGCTTTCCTATTTACAACATTTCACAAGTTATAAAGTGTACTGCCACATGTCCTTCTGGAGAATAGTACAACAACATGCTAAACAACATGATAAACGWGTGTTTATTATATCAGCAATATCACTGTGTAAACACCTGCTGATCTGCAGTCGGGCCAGCCATCTCTTTAAATGATGAGGGCTGATATGAAAGTTATCTGTACCAATCTGTGTAATGATACAAAAACACAAAACTGTACATTAGGTTGCCTTCAGGCCCAGGCCACCCTTACAAATGAGATATGTAATCTCAAAGGGTTTCGCCTGGTTAAATAACGGTAAACAAATAATAAAATAAAT